GGCTCATTTCACTATTTGAGAAGATGCCTGCAAAACACCCAGATACAAATAATTGTTTTAAAAGCAAACATTGATGTGCTGTGGATAAATGAATGGTAGTTTAGCTTGAGGCTCCGAAACCCAAGTGCTTTTCCCAAGAGAGCCATAGACATGTGGAGACAGGGGCTTCTGTGTGCCTCCAAACTTATCAGCAGGGCAGTAAAAGGGAAATGTGTGCTCAAGTTCAAGGTTTAATAAGAATAATCCTTTTATTGCTTTAAATGAAGCTGGCGTGTTTAAACTGGAGATGGGACCTCCTTCACTTATACTAAGGCAAATGCAGCCCTTCCATTGTTCTTACAGTGTTGGGACAAATATGACCCAATATTTGTCATATTTTGCAGGAAAAAAAACCACCACTCAATAATCTTATCAAAATAAGTCTGATCTCATGTACCTCTGGCAAAGACAGAAAGGGTTCCCTCAAATTTCATTCACAACATAGAAAGTTGCTTCTGCAGAAAACAGCAGGGCTTTATGAGCACTTTGGCTCCGTCCCTCTTATTTGATTTTGTAGCGCTGTGCTAGACAGATGCTCTGCCATTGATACTGCCAGACCCTTTAAGTCCTTACCACTATCTACACTAAGGGTGTTGTGATGCCAGAGCCCCCTTAACCCTGTCCGGGAGACAAGGAATCCAGTTCCATTTGAGGTTTTACTGCATAAGCCTCACATAGCCAAACTCTCTCTCTCATTGGCTTGAAGTCTTGCTAGTTTTCCTTCTTATTTTATAGATGACTTCAAACAAGATGCCACATGCATAGTTTCAGTTGATTGCCCTAAACAAATCCCCCTAAACCCCACACACCAAATGACCGCACCCACATTTGGGGTTTTCATCTTAGAGTTTGGAGGAAAGACAACTTGTGTCTGGTCTTAATTTGAGAGTACAGTATCCTCCCTCAAGCTCACTTGCCATGTGTGAGAAAAAGAGGCAAAGCACCCCTTATACTTCTCCCATTCTCTACTCTTTCTCAAGACAAATCATTAGTCTTTAAGGGCACATCACCCACCACAAAGTATCCAATTCAAGCATGGCAACTTGTCTCTGCTGTCAAGTCCTGTAATTTTTTTCTGCCAGGGTTCTTTCTTCCCTCCTCACTTTATTTCCTTCTGGAGCTTGAAATCAGGGAGAGGATGACAGGTTCTAAAAGGTCACCATTGAATAAAGAACTGTCTATGTACAGTGTTGGCTTTGGTTATTAAAAACAACAACTTCATACCAGGGATGAAACTAAGGTCTCACACATGCTAAGCAAGTACTCTACTGCTGAGCCGATGACTCTAAAATTTCTTTAATATTTATTTTTAAAGTATGTGTGTATGGGGAGGGGTATGCATGCATGTGTACAGATGTCTACCGGGTCCAGAAGAGGATCTTCTGGAGATCTGCTGGAGCAGGAGTAATGGGCAACTAGGAGCTGTCCCGTGTAGGTGCTGGGCACTGAACTTGAGTCTTTGGAAAAGCCCCAAGCACACCTAATCATTCAACTATCTTTCTAGTTCCCCCCATTTTCACTTGAATATCATGATGCTTTGCTATTTCTCCAGCCCCCATAGTCTTTTAGGGTGCCACAGTATGTGGTTTTTGGAAAGTGACATGGGACACAAGGAGAGTTCCAAAGTTCAGTTTCTCTTTATTGTAACTCTTTTATATGCTTAGGAGTGACTTTCCTGAACTCAGAACATCCCAGGAGTGGGGGTGAGCCCTGCCAAAGAATAAGCCTTCTAGGTCTACTGAACGTCAAGCTGACCACTGCTAATAATAACATGGTGAACTGGGCATGGTGGCATGTAATCTCAGCACTTAGAAGGCCGAGACAAGTGATTGAAAATTTGAGGCCAGCAAGATCCTGTTTCAAAAACAAAAATGTTAATACAATAATTGTAGGATACAAAGGGAAGGCCTGAGCAACTCTGTACTGTTGACATAGGAACAACCATGTCAAGGACCCCAAAGCCGTAGACCCTTGGGAGAATGGCAAAGACCCAAGGTGAATCTCCGAGAAATGTTCAGCTTTGCTCCGGGACCTGAGTGTGGGGGTGTTGATAGTGTGCACAGAAAACCTGGTCTCTTTACCCGCTGGATATTTATGGCCAGAAGACTATTCCCCTTCAGGGACTTCTCCAGCTGAGATTAGCTAAGCCTGTCAACTTGATCCAGCTATATACCATAAATCCCACCTCCTGTTTATCTGTATATAATAAGCATACATAGTGAGCTTCCAGGATTTGGGGTGAGGAATGTACGTATGTCATAGTGAGAGTATGGAGGGCAGCAGACAATGTGTGCAAATCAGTAACCTCCTTCCACCATGGGGGTTCCAAGGATCAAACTCAGGTCTTCAGGCTTGATAGCCAGCACCCTTGACCACTGAGCCATCTCCTTGTAGGTTTCTTTTGCACCTTTAGCTCAAGGAAGGTCATGAGCTGGGTAGGTGCTACATTGCTTTGTTCCCACTGTTCTTTATTAGAACATGGTTTCTAATGCAGTTTGTGCTGGGTGCTAATTTTCTGTTTCCTAAAGGAAGAGGTAAAGGAAATGAGATAAAGAAAAGAATAACTAGTCACATTGACTGGGTTCCAGAAAGGGTTATCAGCATCTTAATTGTCAAGAGTCTTCCGTTCCATGTACGCTCTCTGCTGTCACTGCCATGAGCTATGTATCCACGTCACCCCTGTTAGCAGAGGGTGAGTCACAGTGCAGCCAAAGCAAGAGAGCCAAATTCCAGCTCACTCTGTCTTCACACACCCTTGCAGCCTCTGAGAAGTGAGAAAAGTCATGCAAAGCTTGCAGGACCAACCCTGTAGGGAAGGTCTGTATTGAATAGCTAAGCCTGACCCATAGTTTACAGCAAAAGGCTGTTCTTTGCTGTCTAGTTTCTTTTCCTTCCCCCTCTCTTTCGTGCTTGGATCGGGTTTCTGGTGATTTAAAACAAGTGCACAGAAACCAGGCAGTCAGTGCAAAATAATTGCAGGTTTGGGGTTGTTAGCATGCACTGCAATTGCTGGAATAACCCTGAGTTAAGGAGGGGAAAGCAAAGAATTCTACTTATTGACTTCCCAGAGCCCAGGATCAGTTGGAGTTGCTGTACGTGTGCCCTGCAGACAATTAGCTACCTAGGAGAGACTCAGTGCAGGCATTAAGTTTTTATTCAAAAATCTATTGCTTGTTGAGTGTTGTGCACCCCCACACACACACACACACAAACATATGAACACACAGGGTAATTATAGGCTGCAGAGTGAGAGACACTGGAATTGTGTACAAAACAGTTTATAAAATTTTAAAATAACAGGGGCACGAATATGCATATGTTTGCATAAAACAAACAATGTAAATGATGGGATGAACAAATTCTTTCTTCTTTTGCTGCTTCGTCCATCTCCAGAATTTAGAGCATGGGCTTGTGGGAGGAACCCCTCCCCTGCTCTGTGATGCTTGCGTCTAGGCTAGGCAGTCCTGCTCATTTATCCTATGCCAGTTTATTGTTGCACATCAAAATACAGACCCTCAGGTGTGGGGATGGAGTGGCTGATGAAGTGGGCTGCTATCTAATTAGTTTCATGAAAAGCTTCTTTTGTGGCATAACAGAAGCGAGGGAAATAAAAGAGCCCCCTCGCTGTCTTTCAGAAGTCTGAGAGATGAGCTTTCTGCAGATTAGTGTTCCAAAGTGGAGGGACATTTTTTCCAGCCCTTTCAGAAATCTCCTCCCGCACAGCCTTGCAAAGATTTCTACTACGCTCCCCTCAGGATCTCATTTATTTATTTTCTAATGTGGAAGGACAGCCACTCACCTCCTGCCTCAGAGCCAATCAGGCATCTCATTCTACCGGCTTAGGTCAGTACCAGCAAAGCCAATGCCTCTGCTAGACACTCTGAACTCTGTCCTGACAACGGTCAGCCTGGCAACTGACTGACGACTGGAGGGGACTCTGTCATCTAAGGCGCCACTGTGAGAGCCAAGGACTGAACAGAAGGACCAGCCTGCTGTCAAGAAGTGCTTTGCTGCTGGTGATTGATGGGGATAGTTAGGAGCTTCTCAGTGGCTGAAAGAGGTGGTTCTGCCACTTACTCGTTAAGAAGTCTTTGTGGGCAGATGACTCTCCTGGGTAGTGAGTGACATAATGCAGATGACAAATGACAGCTTTGCATTTTATTCTGCTTGGTAAAGAGTAAGAGATGCAGGTGATTAAGGCTCCCCTAGCCTGCCCTGCACCCGCCACACTACACACACAGATGCACTTTCCCAGTGGCTGGCTCCTCTCATCCTTTTTCAGTCTTGATGGGGAGTTTTAAAGTGCAGAGCTGATGCACTGGCCACTGTTTGTGCAGCCACAAGATGCTATCTGAGTTATTGATCAGCAGTTCTCTGTGTTACCCTCTCTGCCGTTAGAAGGAAAAAGTATCCGCATGTAACATGTTTGAAAACATTAATTCAGATCCAAAGTCTGTTTTGAAACCCTGGACTGATGTTGCCTTTGTATTTTCCCCTCTCTCCTTTCTAGGACTCCATCTGCAGATGTTCTGAAAAACCTCTGAGTCTAGAAATTGATTATTCAACCAGGATACCTAATTCAAGGTATTAGCTCTTGTCAGAAAGCTTTTACGTTTGAGTTCAGTGCTGCAAATTACACTTGGCAATGAATGGAAACGGGGAAAGTTGGACGGAGAATAAAGGACAAAAGTGATTTTGCAAAATAATCAAGTACTTAAAAACCTCCCCTGTGCGAGTGAGGGTTTGCTCCTTCTGACTCATGGTCAGCCCTTGCTGCCAGCCGGAGTGTCAGCTCTGGCTTCTTTGTAGCCCCTTTGCTACAACTGGGTTTGGAGCTTGGGTTTCATTTTCATTCCCCTCTTACGCTTTTTCTCTTGACGCCTCCCCCATTCCCTACACCCCAACCACCAGAACTCAGAAGACAGACATTTTGTCAGCTTTGGAACATTGGACCAAATACAATGAAGTATTCTTGCTGGACTCTGCTGCTGGTTATTCTGGGCACAGAACTGCTGGGGAGCTTGTGTTCCACCGTGCGGTCCCAGAGGTTCAGAGGAAGGATACAGCAGGAACGAAAGAACATCCGACCGAACATTATTCTTGTGCTCACCGATGACCAGGACGTGGAGCTGGGTGAGACCCTAGATTTTTCACTTGTCAACTTCCTTTGATTCTAATGCTTTCGAGAGCCTCAGTTGTTTCAGAGGTACTCAGTGGGCCTGCAGAGGATTGGTGCTTTGCTAGCTGTCTCTAACCATCATTCAGTTTACACAGTGAACTTGTACTGATCATAAACTATCAGATTTGTTTCAACATTACTCTTCTGGTATTATGGTTTTAAGACAGATTTTTAGACAGGCAGCCAGGAGAAGAAGGTGGAAGATGATAGTAAGCCTGGGGAACCACAGAAATCAAGGGCCTGATCTTGTACTTTATAAACGCAAGACCAAGAACTCACTCCTGTAATCTCAGTCCTTGGAAAGTAGAGATGGGAGAATCAGGCGCTCAAGGTCATTCTTAATTAACTACATAGTAAGTTGGAGCCAGCCCAAGAAGCATAAGACTCTGTACCAAAAAGAAAAGAAGGTGAAAAGGAGTTAATTTATGAACTATGTGAGTAAAGTATGTCAAAGTTCATGAGTGTATATAAAATATGGATATAAAGGGAATCTTTTTTCTTTTCTTTTCTTTTTTTTCTTTTTCTTTCTTTTTTTTTTTTTTGACAGTCCCAAGGTATAGCCCTGGCTGGTCTGGGACTCATTATGTCAACCAGGCTGGCCTCAAGCTCACAGAGTTCTGCCTGCCTCTGCCTTCTGAGTGCTGGGATTGAAGGTATATACCGATATGCCCAGACCTAATATAAGTAGTTGAAACTTAACAGTGTTTTATGTATCCTTGTGGTGACTCCCATGCCTGGGTTTGTCCCTTTGGAAGTGTCTCTCCTGAGTTCATTAAAAGCACTGCAATGAAGTGTGACAGGATTTAGTGGCTTTGACTCACCTCTGACCTCTTGCTGTCTATAACAGTCTAGCCCTGGGGTCTTATCTATAAGCTCACAGTCAGGATCTTCCTGAATACCCTAAGACAGATGCAAAGGCTTGTCCTACAGGCTGTCTCTACTCCCCATTTCCACTTCTATAGCTCATTCTTTGCTCCAGGGCATTGATCATATGTACCTACCTGTGCTGTTCAATTTGACCATGGGGAGGATTTTGGGGGGGAACTCCCCAGGTTTAGTCTTGAGGATCAGACCATGGAATCACAACAAAGTTAATTTCTGGGCTTCAGCTGGGAGTCAGTGTACTTACCATTTAGGCCAGTAGCAGTAATGATCACATTTCATATTCAACCAAAAAGAAAGAGTATACTGATTTTCCATAATGGAGGGTCACGTACATACAGCTTTAGGATGAATGCATCTGGGTATTTCAATGTCTTCATTTGCTTACAGGGCAAGAAAATGTAGGACTCGTCCATGACTTCATCTCTCTTAACACACATCTCACCTCCCTCATACAACAAATCTCTAGACCCTCCTTGTCTCTCCTGATTCTCGGTTGCTTCATGCTCACTCTACATCCTATGGCTAGAGTTTTACCTTTGAACTATTGTATCCAGTCACTCTTTGGTTAAAACCTTTGAGTGACGGACATTCTTCCTCTCCTAGCTGCAGGCCAGTTAGCTGAGGCCTCCCAGCCCTGGTGATTCTCAAGGGTTCTTCCATTCCCTTAAGGCCTCCCTTAGTGCATCAAAGCAAATTTTGCTTACTGAAGCATGTGTTGGTCCCATCCCCTTCTCCCACCCCACGTCTTGCTGAGTCTTATTGTCTAAACCTCTCTCCATATTTACCTGGTGAAACACTACCTGTTCATGAGCAGTTCAGGTGCCCCATGCTTGAGTTTGATGTTCCACCCAAAACCACCACCACCTCACCCATCAGAGGGTGTTTTCCTTTGCACACCCTCCCCCGTGTCTCCAGGATGGCTTAGTCCATCATGCCTTTCTAAGCCTGTCTCTCCCACACATCCCAGAGGTGAGGACTATTTCCTTTATTCCACAGGCTCCATGCTAGACTACAACAGGTGTTCAGTAAACATTGGATAGATGCACATCAGTTCTGAAATAGATAATCCAACTCCCAAAAAAGAATGTAGGTGTCCATCATGCCCTCTCTTCAACCCTACAGTACTTTAAAATAAATTAAGGAAGAATTATCTGCCATACTTATTTTATTTTAAAATCGAATTCAAGTTTTCTGCTTTGTCCTACAATATGTTCATCTAGTAAATATTTGCAGAGTAATCACTAAGCAGTGGATTCTTTTGAGTCAAAAAAGATACAGTAGTGGGGGCTGGAGACATGGTTCAGAGGTTAAGAGCATTAGCTGTTCTTCCAGAGGTCCAAAGTTCCATTCCCAGCAACCACCATGGTGGCTCACAACTATCAGTGGTGAGTTCTGGT